AATGACATAGCACGATGGCAACAGGTGTAAAGGAATTGTTAATGGGATTACTGAGCAGATCTGCATAACTATGACAGTCGCAATGGATAAACAACGACACAAAGGCAAATTGTTCACTCAAGTATATTTCTCTGTGTTATATCATAAGTTATACAAGTTTGGATCGACAAAATGGAATAATCTATTAAATGCTGCTCGTATTTTGCAGCATTAATGGAGGAAATCTGTTTGATGGATATTCTTATGTTTCTAGATCACGTAGTTCTTGTAGGTTTGTCTAAATTTATTTTTTCCATGACCTACAAATCACTTATAATCTGAAATAGCTTTTGTCTTATAAAATACCACCGGTAAAATGGACGTGGGAGGGGTAATTAATGCATATCAGTCTATCAGTATGCCAATCTCTATTGCAACGTCTTTTTCCCCTAATTTATATGTCCATCGTACTGTAAATTATCGCCTACATCCCATGGACATGCCTGAAACTCGCGGGCCTGACGGTTGAATTGGATTTGGTTCCATAGATGCACAAAGTACCTTTGAAAAGGAGACTCTGCTGAGGCATCACCTAAATAACAAATAGATTTGAAAGAACTCATTACTCTTAGGAACAAGGAATAGCCGTGTGCCATTCTTGACATATAGCTCAGAGATTACCGTGCCACGAAAAACTTTACGTCCAAGGTGAGAGATGAAGGAAGGTCACGGTGGGTGATAGCAAATGCGGCTCCGATCCTATGCATTAGATTATTAGAAGATAGATACATCAGTTGCTTTCCTTAACCTCTTCCACGTACGCTATTACAGTGCTCACTGGAATTCAGGCTGTTCGTCGATTGATGTAGAGGCTGACTTGCGATAATAAATGGAATTTTTCACTCCACCTTTTGTTGGCAAACGCATGCAGCATTGGTCATCGCCACCTGTGTGTCACAATTTGCTAAATACACATTTCACGCATTGAAAGTCGAAAAGCATGTCGAAAACTTATGTAGTTGCTCCATACGGGAAAAAACAAATGCGCATATGGAGAATTATTTCGAAACATCGAAGCCTGGCCAATCAGAAGAAAGAACACGTTATTCCCCTAAGACAATACAAAGTATACATTATGAAGACAGCAAGAGGGGAAAAAAGGAGCTTTGCGATCTCAATCTCAGTATCTATACGTCTCTAATGATGTGTCTGCAGGCTACAAATATTATTTTTCAGGTCGTGTTGACCCTAACTCCGGGCAGTCCATGATGGCATATTTCGTTAGGCTCAAGATCCTTTTTGTCAATTTTAGGCATTGGTAATAGCTAGGCATATGGGAAATAGAATAGGTAGTTGGAAAATAAGATGAGAAAGAGGTGAATAGGAAAAATTCTTTGGATTAAAAAGGGTACATTTCGTTATCCGTATCATGATCGATGATATGAAAAGCTTGTGTCACCAGAGTCTGAGTGGCATAACAATGGAAACATTGCAGGTCAGTCATGTTTAACCTGAGTAACGGTGAATCAGTTAATATTTGTTTGCTCTAGCAAGAAGAGGGAAGCCTTATTGGCAGGTAAGCAAACGGGTGGCACATGCAGCGCACAGACAAATAACAATGAAGTGAAAAGATGGGTGTCTCTCGCTCCTCAACGGTGCGTTTTAGGTCGTTTCTAGTAGACTAGCATGTAAAGAGGAATGCCTCATTAAATCAGTGGCCAAGATTTGCATTTAGACACGGGTCAGTATTTATGCCAGAAAGATGGCTACTGAGACAAGCAACACAGTAGTGATGGACGGGGAGAATGTGTAAGTAGAGGCTATTAGTAAACTTCTTCTTTAGTATGTACAGTCTAAATCCAACAAAAGAAAACGTAATCACACCTACCACTCACTTTGGGTCCAGATGCTTGGCAGATCAGGGGGATACTCGACTTAGGTAGTGTCAACAACATCCTCTACTACCCACCACGATGGCTAAAGCTAGCAGAACCACCGATGACGATGACGAGACTGCTAACGGATGCACTTGCTATCTTCGAGTTATTGCCCAACGGCGACCAACTTTCATTCATTAGTTCAAACAATATGAGGGTTGCTAAATGATCATTATTTCCTTTCTAAGTTCAATTTTTACTTCTCTTAGAGTGGTATAGGGCAAACTCTGCTCAATATTTGTCAAAGAATGAAAGGCATAACTTAAGCATAGTTATTGCAACATGGTAAAAGTCAGAGCCTTTAAATGTTGATGACAGAATTTAGTGGTTCCTCATGCCTCAAATCTTGAAGAAGTCTATTCAGTGTCTGTTCCGTCAAAGAAGACGAGCTTATAATCCTTAAACAAATTAGCAATAAGTCTAAAGGCAAGTATTTATCGGTGCGTCTGAGATTTCGTCATTGCCCGAATGCACGTCAAAGTGGGAAAGCGCTAATTAACTGCAACTCATGCGATTTCACTGAGACCAAACATGTTTGGCATAAAGTAAATTAGGTGTGAGGTGGTGCATCACTTCAGATACGCTATTAGTAATAGCACAAAAAGACTTCTTTACGATTGTCCCAGTGACATTTGCCGATAGGGATGCCCTAAACGTGGCGACACTTGTTTTGTTCGCTTTCTTTTTGGATTCAACCTCAACTTCACCTTGTGTCAATTTTACTATGCAAGGAAATCACAATGTT